AGCTGTCCTCCTCCTCCTCCCGCTGTGGCCGCCCCTCACCTGTGCTGACTGCAGGTGCAGCGCCTCACCCCCCACCTAGACCCGTGCTTTAGTGCCTTACCCGCCACGGTGCCGGCTGTGAGTCTTGAAATAAGATGAAAGTGCTAAACCGTGTTACTGTTTGCGTAAATGCTTGTTAATTTGAAAGGCAGAGAAGTTTTTCCTTTTATTGTGGGATCTCTTACGTTTTTGGCTGATGGCAGCTTTCCTTACTAGGAATAGCCGTACCTTGCGGTGTGTATTTTTCTGGAGCGTGGACATGAGGTTTTTTCGATGTCCTCTAGTGCGTTCCTGCAGCGTGCAAGCCAGTATCGTTGAGAGCGCTCTCATACTGCCTTTTATGAAATTTTATTTTCACTCATGTTCATTTTCTCCAAATAATGCATGTATTTTATGAGTTGTTCAGATTAAATTTACTGTATTGTATAGTGCAAGAGATTAACAGTAACTTCAGACTATTAAAAGCCAATCTTGAGAATTTGCCTGTTACGTTCTTGCTGCTGACTGCATTTTTTTCCCGTTGTTTTTCTATCACAGGAGACATTGGATTTAACCTGTAGAAAAGCCCCATGTTTTGTGAAATTCTCAGAGATGGAAAAAATGGCAAACATTCAAGCTGAAATCAATGAGGTACAGCCTTTACTGTTGTCAGTATACATTCAACACATCAATACTTAGTGATAATACATGGCACCTGATGAGGTATCGGACTGCCATGTGCTATTGTTTCAGGTTTTGGGTTTTTTTAACAGTTCAGCAGTTTAATAGTTGGCACTTTTTCCCCAGTGGACTGAGTTGTCATAAAGAAAAGAACAAAATTATGAAACAAAAGTTTTTGGAAAGACGCAGCAGCCTGCATCTTTGACTGAAGTGTTACCTGAAATTTTCTGAAGAAACTGAAGAACAAATAAGAATTTGTAGTTAATTTTAATTCACAAAAATGTGTTTCTTCATAGGCAACTAGACCGTTTTGTTGGTTAGCAAGAGGTAACCTCAGTCATCTCCTACTGCCTGAATTAGCTGTTGGCTTGTATTTTATGATGATGTTTTCTGAGCATTTGCTCGCTGGTACAAAACCCGTGTTTATTAAGTTACATAATGTGGGCTCCAGCAGCTACAAAACCTTACTGCAAAGCAGTGTGACAAATTCACTGTTGAATTCTTTGGAGAATGAGTTAAACAGCTGGCATCATCCTGTATTGATGGACAGAAGGAACGAACAATTTCCAGCTCCCAGTAAGGTGGCTACTTGGCCTCCTTTGCTGGAAGGTTTCACATGCAAAGTACTCTCTCTGACAAATGTTCAATATGCTATGAGTGAAGCAGGTTTACTTTTGTCCTCTCCTCAGTGATCAAGAAAAGCAAAGCAACAGTTCTCTGTGTGTCCTGAGAGACTGATGCGTCATCCTCTTCTATAGTTTCCTCAGTCTTCTCTTGTCTAGCCAAAACAACCACAACTCTCTCAGCCCCAGGAAGGTATCTGCTGCTTTTGTGCTGGTTTATCATTGGAAAGAATTAAAGCTAGGAGTTTCATCTAAGAGAGCTTCTCCCACAGCTAAAAAAACCCAACCCAACACAAACCAATATTTGCTAGAAGGAGGAAACTTGGAGCTGTGTGAGGTTCTTTAGTAGAATATAGACTATGAAACTGCTTTGTAGGAGATGTACGTTTCTGTGGTTTAGGAATGAATTGCAGGATCTGTCTTTTCTACTACAAATTCCCAATAAATCACCAAATTGTTCAGGTTTTTTTAAACAGTCTTTTCCTATTGATCAAAAAAGCCCCACCTAGTAGTAGAAACACATGGTAACATGCTCTCATGCAAACGCTCGCTCTCTTTTACATGCGTTCTCCCCTATGCTCCTGCTTTCTCCCTTTCTCCTTCTTCCCCCGCCCCAAGAGAGTCAACAATACCTGGATAAGTATGTTAAAATGCATTTTCATTTGATGTTATTATTGTTGTAGAAGAAACTGAAAACTGAAATTCTGCAGTTGGAGAAGGAGACAGCAGACATTGCTCACCCTTTTTACTTAGGTAAGCGGAGTTGTACCTTAGAAAAACCAAGAGCGTTAAATGACTTCATCAGCAGATTGACGTTTCCTCTGAGTACATGACGCTTCTGGAAGTTATTGCAGCTTTCTCCACTGGATAGCTTGTTAGAGGTGGCAGGTGTTTTATTAGCCCCTAAAGAATGCTTCCACACTATTTGAACTTGCACCTTCTGCTGTCTCAGTGGAAGCTCCGTGCATAACTCACTCTCCAAAAAGTTGTGTGTGTGTGTGTGGTCAGCTCTCCAGGGTCAGTGGAACATCAGGAGTTGAGATCATCAGAACCCGATTTGCTTCCCTTGGCCTGTGTGCTACTTTGCTGCTTTTCCAGTAACTCGGTGTATTTCTGCTGCATCAGTATGCCCTGAAAATTACTTGGATTTTCATTTTAGTATTTTGGGAGCATATGTATTCATTTATTATTTCTCACTTTTCCCACTACAATTTGATGGATGCTTGAAAACATTCTAGCTTGCTACTACTGTGTTAGGCTAGTGAAGTATATTGTAATACTTCAATGCTATGGTATAGTTTAAGAAGTTGGTTTCATCTCGAAGACGGTTACTTAAAACTATAAAGAATGTAAAATAATTAACAAAGCTGTATCTCTAAAAAGTAGGTATTATGACTTTAAGGTGCATGCTGATACAAAGTCCTATACACTCCAACAGAAGTCATTCTGATTAATGATATCTTCCTTGAGCATAAACTGTCCAGTGCAATAGAACAGACTTTTTCTTTCTTTCTCCAGAAGAAATTTTGCTTTTGTTTTGGCAGGACAATAGTTTCAACTTTGCAATTTTATTTTATAGGCAAAAAATGCGAGATTTTGCAAGATATGAACAAACACTTGGAAGCTGTACTGAAAGAGAAGAGAGCTCTTAGGAAGAGGTTGATAAAGCCCAGATGTCAAGAGAGCCTGCCTATTGAGGCTACTTTCCACAAGTAGGCATATAAAAAATAATTGTTCTTTATTTGCACGGGTCCAAATGAATTTGAACTAATAGGCAGTAAAAATCGCATGCTTTCATTCACTTTTCCATTAAGAAAAATAGAAACAAAAAATGGTAGCAGAACCTCAGCTAAAAGCTAGTAGTTTACTTATTGCTAAATTCATAGAAAGGTAGTGATACATATTTTTATGAATATTTGCTTAGGTTATTGGTCTTGTTTTCTGAAGATTACACAACGACTTGTGATGTGCTGTTTCAAACAGATGCGTTAAATGCTTGATCCATTATGCTTCTCCATAGGTAGGAATTATGACTTTAGCATTTGGTGTCTTCCTTCCACTGTGACTTGCTCAGAATAAGTGTGTGAATGATTCACAGACAAGCATAGTACGTGTTTTAAAAATACAGTCCTTCTCATGGTCTAAAAATCTAGTCCAATTACTGAAGAAGTGCATATTCACTTCTGTAATTCCTGCCCTACTTGTTGCTGAGAGTCATAAAAGAAGTGTAATTCCAGAGAAATTAATTAGATGGTTAGGAACTTGCATAAAACTGGAGAAGAGGACTAAGAAAACCAACAGGGGAAAGAAATAAGAGCTTGGAAGTATTAAATCCTCATTGTTTTGCACAACTTTTGAGTAGGGAGCTCATTCTTGGTTACAGGTATGTAGTAGAGTTGTTGACTGAGGCTGTGACTTTCATCGAGAAGCTTGAAAGCCATTTGCAGACATTAAGAAGCATCCCTCAGATACCAAACGTCATGAAGAATATGGTGAGTAGCAAAAGAACTGAGCCTTCTGTCTCCTTCAGCATTAAGAATTCAATGCTGTTTGGTTGGCCTAGATTGACAGAATGTATAGAGATGAAATCCAACTCTTTTCTGCTTCAGGACACTGCTTTGACAAAAACAGAGGTGCTCGTGATAGAGTTGGAGGAGCTGGCAGAGCAAATACTGAAATGGAGAGAACTGCAAAAAGAAGTGTATTCTGACAGCATCTGCAATACTGAATTGGACTTTGGCTTATCTTTAACCTAACAAATCATTTTCCTCAAATAGGATGGCTATTCAAAGAACTACCTTTTTACAGTCTCGGGTGAAAACTACAACATAGTTGTGCTTTAATGCAACGGGGATTTTGTAGGTAGTTATGTTTCTGTTCTTAAGAAACAGTTCTCCAACTATTTAAAAAAAAAAAAAAAAACAAACAACCAAACAACAAGGACAATGAGCAGTAGCTGATAGGAAGACAGACTACTGAGAAGACTGTTAAGGAGTTCCTTTTTGAAAGAGTTGGACAGGGTTCCCTTCGAGCCTGGATCGTCAATGCAAATTTGTTTTGATATTTCTTATGCGCTTGCTATAGTGTCTCTATTCATTTTTATAAGCATCTTGATAAAACACTGTATTTTATATGTCACTATAAAACTTCAATAAAAGCACTAGATTTCAAAAGCTCAGTTTCTTGGGTTTTATTTTGTTATAAAATCCTATAATTAAAAGAACAGTGCAAAGTCTTAGGTCCCAGCTTATGCTTCCATAGGAGTTCCAACCAAGAAATTAAACCAGTTTTAAATTGCAGTTTATTATGGCTATGATATCGTTGTGTGGGAAAGCAGGGAATGGACTTGGTGATTTATGGCAGGTCTACTGATTTGCAAACCACATTTCTGTGAGGGTGATAAATAGAGTCTTCAGTCTCTCCTATTTTTTGAAAGTAACCACCAGGTGGCTCAGTACCACACAAATTTCACTGTAGTTTATTTGACTATTGCATAAAACTTAAAGTAGAATTAAGGAAGGAATCTTTGGTTCTTCATTGAGCACACTCTGATCTGACTTACTTGTAATTGGTCTACTCTATATTTGAAATTTTCTGAGAATCCCATTTTAATCTTTGTAGACTACAAAGAGTATGTGATGTCAAGGAGTATAGCTTAACAATTCTCTAGTATACTATGTAAGTGTAGCTGATGTTCCTCTCTGCTGCTGTTGATAAAAGCGAAGATGATAGAAACAATTTGGATTAAGTCAAGCAGAATGTCAGTAGATAGGATCTGAGAATATAAACTGGCATTTGAGTCCCATAAACTTGAATGGGATCTTTGTGTGAACACTTGCTAAATGTCATTGCAGGATTTGAGTCCAAAGTCCCACATCACTGTCATTTCAGATGTGGAAATGAAGGTCTTCCACACAATTGCGGAGGAGGAGCTGGCATTTTTACTGAAAATGCTTTGCACAGTCTGTGAAATGGGAAGGAACAGAATCCAGACTTCTGGGATCATCGTTCTGTGCATCTATCACAGGCTTAGCCTCTCTCTCATTGTCTTACGGTGATGATTTAGGCCAGGCAAAATTAAAACTGTTGTAATTTAATGCTTCCAGAAATAAGATGAAAACATTTCTAGTTAGTTTGTTCATTATAATTCCTTCAAATGAAGACAAATACGTGGTTTTGCCGTATCCCAAGGAGTCGAGCATATTCTTTTACTGTATCCATTATTAGAGAGTTGACTGTGGAGATGGCAGAGTTTAGCTAATACCATTTGCCATTGACATACCAACTCATTCTTTAGTATGATTAAACGGATAAATCTATTCAAGTAAACAGTGATTCACAGCTTGTAGGAATTCATTTTAGCATCTCTATGGTGGGTCATGAATTGGGAAAAGTGTTGGGTCCAAAGGATCCATCCCATACTTCACTCTGAAGGTTTCTGTATTCCGGTGTCTTTTTAATTTAAGATTTAAGGTTTCTGGAGCTTAAGGCGAATTGTCTCATGAGGAAAACTATACTTGAAGTATACAAATAAATAGTACAGTTAAAAGGCAATTTAAACAGAAGTTGTTTAAATGGACTGTAAAACATTCCTGTATGATATTCAGATATAGCTCAGAGTTTCTCATATTTTGAAATGCAAAACCAGAAAAAGTCCAGTTAAAAATGAGTAACAACATTGGCAAAAATCAAACAGGAATTGTCCATTGAGCCTGGCATCTGGTTTACACATGCAGCCAGTGCTGCTTGCTCTCACATCTTCACAATAATGTCAGTAGCTGACAGGAACAATATTCTAAAAGCAATTTTTTTAAACTTTTGGTGGGTTTTATGTTACTCTAAGTGCAAAACCTTTAGCAATGCAACAGTTGGACATTGATGTCAATTATAGTTCTTTGGAAGTTTCAACATTTTATTTTTCACAATAAATACAACCCACATAAAGATTGGAGGTTTTCAAAGGAATTTAAAACACTTGAGAGCTTTCCTTTAGCACGGGTAAGGAAGGGATACTTAGCTTCCTTAAATTACTGTCAAATTAATTAAATGTGGGGTGCTTTGCACTTTAAACAGTGCTGGTTTTCTGATTGCCTGCACGGAAAACAAATGTGATCAAACGTACGTGGGATTCGACTGACAGTTTTTTACTTCTGAAACAAACTGGTTTCTCTCGGGTAGTCCCTAGCGCCTGTCCTCCTGGCAGCACCCATCTCGTCGGACTGTCGGCCTTCAACTCTGAGGTAAAATCCGGGTTGTTACGCTGCTGCAAATGAGAACTTGCTGCTGCTGCCCTGGCGATTTTAAGCGTGAACCCACCGTCTGGAGGTCCCGCTCTCCCCGGCGGGCCTGTTTTAGGCGGAAAAAACCCGGTTTGGGTGCTGGAGAAGCTGCCCCGCGGCTCCTTTGGGGAGAGTTTTCCCGACACCCCTCCTCTCCGCCCGGTGAGGCTTCCCTTCCCTCCCGCCCCCGCGGGGGCTGCC